ATTTTACAAACATTATTAAGCTGGATTTCACATGCATTTCATTGGTACAAACAACTAGTCTACTACTATATACACTGTTCTAGATAAATGGTTTGTATTTTAGTTGCATGCCCCCAAAATGGCTAACATTTGTCAAGAGAAATTATCTTCTTTACTCTAATGTAAGTATGCAGGCAAAACCACAACAATACAGAAAACCAGGCCTACCTTTATAAGGGTTTATTAATTTACTCTCCAATACATCAGTCTTGTCAGTTGCACTGGTGACATGTTGTACTGCTTCATCAAGTGGTTTCACCCTCCTCCGTCTCATTTTATCTTCTCCTCCTGCAACTGAGAGTATCTGAAGCAGAAGGTTGACAAATCATACTCAAAGCAAGGCCACATGGAACAGCAAAAACATTTGTATGGCCTAGAAAAAGCCTTGTAATAAAGAGAATTTTAAGATTTCCAATACTATTTTCTACTAGTGAGATGTGATCAACATATATTTGCAAGTAGGAACAGCATTTTTCATATGATATTATAAAAATTATTTTGAAAAGAAGCTAAATGGAATGACTCTTAAGACAAGATTAAATCAATAACAGGTCTTGATAATAGGCCAGTGCAAAGAAAAGAGTTCTAACCATAACAAAAACTATGCTTGTAATGTATTATATTATTAAATATTAATTCATTTACTGTAAGTGTAGACCTAAATGCAACTGTGTGAATTAGCCCTTCTTATATTTAGAGCTCAAATCTAGATCAGTGCCTCACTCTCTCTCTTTCTCTCCACACGTCTTGCTGTCTCCTGCTGAGTCCGCACAAGAATGGCTCTCGCTGTCTCCCTCTCCAAAACTGTCTTTCTCTCTCTAAAACTAAACATATATAAACATATACATATAGCGAGGCAGTGAGCCTTATAGTACACCTGAAAGATTAAATGATTTTCAAATCACAAAGAGTTACAATAATAATCATAGCCTACATGATGAACAACACTGTCTTAAGAATTTATAAGTGCAGAAATTTAACCTAACACAGAGCTTCTGAACCACCTCTACATGAGTCGGACTAATCAGAAGGACCCCTCTGTTGTGTATACTGTGTACAGGACAACACAATCACCATTAACTGGCAGGTTGGCACACTACTTTCAGAGTTCAAGCCTCGGCCAAAAATAATGGATGTGCTGGTCTTTTGGCCACAACACATGCCTTTCATTTACTGAAATCAGTAACAGATCAAATAGCAAATACAATCTTTTTCAGAACAACCTGCAATCAGATATTTTACCAAATATTTCAGCCCCACCTTGCAGTCAATTGTCATCCAGTTAAGCTCCATGGCTGTTTTCTCTTTCTCTCTCTCTCTCTGTGCACACACACGCACAAAACCCACAGCCCTTTTAATACTCTGATTATTTGAATTAATAAAATACCTGGTAAGAACAGTGAGTCTTACCCTGCTGTATTTTTCAACTAAGTTAGATTAATAAGATAATCTCCACACAGCTTTCTCTCTCTAAAATGTACATACAGCTTTTTTAAAAACTTTGATCACATGAAACCAATAAAATATCCAACACACTTTTTCTCCCTAAACTAAAAACATACAAACTAAGCTTGAGGTTACCAAAGTGGACCTTATAGCTCATTACCATCCAGCTAACCAGCCATCCTTCTCTCCCTCTTCTCTCCCCCTTCTCTCTCTCTCTCTCTCTCTCTCTCTCTCCACTACGCAGGGAACACATAGCCCTTTAAACCTCTGACTACACAAAACCAACCAAATCTCTCTCTCTCTCTCTCTCTCTCTCTCTCTCTAAAGCTAAACATCACTGAAAAAGCCTCACGGTACCAAACAGTGGGCCTTACAGCGCGTTAGCGTCAAGCTAACTAGCTAACGAGTAATGAGCTCCTGAAATGTTGTGATTGCTCGAGATAACACAGAGTCTAAGTCGAGAGCAAACATAAAACCGTATCTTTGCGAGCAAAGGCAAATATTTAAGCTATGAAGGGTTTAAAAATCTGCTTATCTACCTTACTCATTACCATCCAGCTAACCAGCCTTCTCCAGCACCCCCTTCTCTCCCCCTCTCTCCCCCCTCTCTCCACTACGCACGCACGGAACACACAGCCCTTTAAAACACTAGGTTAATTACACTAAACCAGCCTAATGTCCTCCACTCTCTCCCCCTGCACAGCTAAACACCACTGAAAACGCCTCACGGTACCGAACAGCGGGTCTTACAGCGCGTTAGCGTCGAGCTAACTAACGCTAGCTAGCTAACGAGTTATGAGCTCCTGAAATGTTGTAGTTCCTCGAGATAACACAAACTGAGTCGAGAGCAAACATAAAACCGTATCTTTGCGAGCAAACGCATATATTTAAGCTATGAAGAGTTTTAAAATCCGGCTTAACTTACCTTACATCGGTGCTTCTTGTGTGCAGCCATCCTTCAGCTCTTTCGTGGCGTGACAGAGGGAATTACGGGAAATGTAGTTTCTTTGTTCTTCCAAGTCCCATTCGTTCCATTCAATATAGAACGGAAAAAACTACAGGCGCCATTTTAGCTTCACTTCGGTATGCACACAAACAAAGCTATTAGGTTATAACATTAGCTTAGACCAGAAGTTCGACCGGAGTACTTTAAACCATTAAAAATTGACTATATATACACTTATATATGTATTATACTGAACGTATCGACGTTGAAGACTTTATAACGCTGATGCTTATATATTTTATATTTTCTTTGGAACTTTTGGTAGCTTATCTTTTAACTGACTCACTGTTACAATGCAGTGCATATTACAATACAATATAATAGGAGACAATATTTTTTTTTTCTGACTGTAAACTGTTCACGTTTTTGATTTCTTGATTGTAATATTTATATGTTTAACATAACTAACTATTTACTTCATTAATATGTCTTATTTGTGTTTACCTTGTAGTAGCAGTGATTAATTCAGCGTTCACAGCACTCAATGACGTGTATCAGGGTTGCGCAGGCGCAGTAGTGAAAGTGTGCTTACGGTCCGCATCCTAAGCACACTTTTAGGGTAGGGTGCAGTACCACCAAGATACCTCCGGGGGCATCGGTGAGCATGTGTGTAAGCACGCTTTTACACACTTCTCATGTTTTTGCGTATGGTGGGGTCCAAAAAAAAAAACCGCACCACCCATATCAGCATGGTCTCCTGAGTCAACTGGCGCATTTTGGCTGAAAACATTGTGGGGACCGGCAAACTGGTCCCCACAATGTTTTCGGTCCCCACACTGTGAGTGTGCTAACGTGTTGCGGCCCCCACCATGTAATAAAAACAAACACACACACACACACACACACACACACACACACACACACAATGCCGTCTTACCAGTTTTTAAAGTTGAAATTAGGCCTAAAAGTGTATTAAACACTTTTTTAAAAAACATCTATATGGTCTTACAACTTTTTAAACTTCTATCACACACACAAAGTCGTCTTACCAGTTTTTTAAAGCTGAAATTAGACCTTTATTTGTATTAAACACTTTTTAAAACATCTTTCACATACAATGTTGTCTTACCGATTGTTTAAAGTTGAAATTAGGCCTAAAAGTGTATTAAACACTTTTTAAAACTTCTGTCAAACACACAAAACCGTCTTACTAGTTTTTAAAGTTGAAATCAGTCCTTTATTTGTATTAAACACTTTTAAAAAAAACATCTATATGGTCTTACAAGTTTAAAGTTGAAATTAGACCTAAAAGTGTATTAAACCCTTTTTTTAAAACTCACAAAGCGGTAAAACCTTTTTGGAGACACACCATCTGGTGGTCCTTTGGGGGCACACCTTCTGATGGTTCTTTGGAGACACACTGTCTGCTGGTTCTGGATATATTTTTACATTTTTTAGGAAAATACCTTCCGACATGTTGATTCACAAAACTCACACCTTTCATTCACCCAACTCAGCAGTGGGGTTGGGAAAAGACCCCCCCCCCCGCCAATCACCGTCACCTTTTGCTCGTCTCAAGACCAGTCATAAATCTTTGGGGTGGGGGTGATGAGGGAGGTGAGGGGAGGTGTGGCTGGAGTAAAGTGGAGAGAGGCCCCCCTTGTCAATCCTACTAATCTGTCTATCACAGAACCATAAATCAGAGGGTCATAAATCATACATTTGAAAGACAGTGTATGATACATACTACTAAGGAGGGATAATGATATAGGGTGGTTTTTCAGGGGTTGGTCTAGAACCCTTAGTTCCAGTGAAAGGAAATCTTAATGCTTAAGACATTTGACAGTTGTACTGCTTCCAACTCTGTGTGAACAGTTTGGGGAAGTCCCTTTTCTGTTCCAGCATTACTGAGCCCCAGTGCACAAAGCAGCTCCATAAAGGCCTGACTGGGTGAGTTTGGTGTGGAAGAACTTGACTGGCCCTCACAGAGTCCTGACCACACCCCCATCAAACACCTTTGGGATGGACTAGAACGGAGACTGTGAGCCAGGCCCTCTCGTCCAACATCAGTGTCTGACCTCACAAATGCTCTTCTGGATGAATGGGCAGAAATTCCCACAGACACTCTCCAACATCCTGTAGAAAAGCTCCCAGAAGAGTGGAAGCTGTTAGAGCTGCAAAGGGGCACCAACTCCATATGAATGCCTATGGATTTAGAATGGGATGACATAAAAGCTAATGTGTATGTGTCCCAATACTTATTATATTTCTCATTCATTCTCGTCCCCCTGCTCCCTGGCCATCCCTTTACAGTATTACTACAAGTAAATGAGCATGGTATCAGCTGATACTCAATACCAGTGTCTGTATCGATGCATCCCTATTTAACTCTCTACTCTATAGGCCAGGAACCCCACTCTGGGGTCCTGCTGCCCACCTAGAGCTCAGATACTCAGCCGCAGTTCACACTGTTTTGCGCTTTAATGTTGCTAATAAAACTGTTATGAAACGCCACAGTATCTTCACCCGTTCACTGCGGGACAGATAAAAGCCTCTGAGCCGTGACGTCATGACTCGTCGGGGCGGTGTTGGTAGGAGCGGATACGCGGAGCTGTCCACTCTCACAGGTGCTGACTGCGCGAGCGCTGGAGACTGGGCACGCGCGATGAGGGCCATGAAAGCGGCGGCAGTAATCGGTGAGTACTGACTGCAGGTAGCAGCGGACTTATGCGGTCACTTGTGATTTTATTTTATTTTATTTTATTTTTCCCGTCGCTGGAAAGAGTTGGCCGCGCTGCCTTTAAAGTTCAGAGAGAGAGAGAGAGAGAGAGACTCTGAGGCTTGTTTTAAGCCTATTAGAAGCTTTTATACAACTAAGCCTTTAGTAATAAATACTTACAGACTTATAAAATAGTATCATTAATCACATTTAGGAGAATCACTTTTTGCAGTGTTTTTTTTTAGCTGTTTTTTTACTTTTATTACTTAATCATTAAATAATCTTTCCATTAAAGGGAAACAGGCCACTAATTTAGTCACTATACACTTGGTTCTTGAAGGGTTCTTTAGTAAAGAAAATGTTCCTATATAGAACTATGAACACTCAAAGAACCCTTTGTACAATTAAAGGGTTCTTTGCATGGCGAAATGTGCTACACATGGTTCAATATAGAACCTTTTTTAAAATAACACTCTTTAAACAGATGGTTCTTAAAGGGTTCTTTAGTAAAGAGTGGTTTTATTTAGAACTAGAGTTCTATGTACGCCTTTTCATGCTTAAAGGGTTCTTTGCATGGTGAAATGGTTCTTCAGAGAATGTGCTGTAGATGGTTCTATATAGAAGCTTTTTGAAAGGGTTCTATATAGCACCAAAAAGGGATTTTCTACTACGGTGTCAAGCTTAACAATAAGCGTGGGTTCTTTGGCTGTTCATGATTCTATACAGAACCATTTTCTTTAGTTAAACCCCTGAAGAACCATCTTTTTTCAGGAGTGTATGTGTGTTGTAAACATGTTTACTCACATCCTACAGTGGTGCAGTGTTAGTCTTTACAGTGAGATTCACTGTATGGTGCATCTTGAAGGTAGAAGGAACTTTTAAGAAGCTACAACTGTTTTAAGTCGGACTGTTGGGGGACAAGTTGTTCTTTCCTTGCTAGCTGGCCAATACAAAAGTAAGGCAGACAGCTAAACCTACTGCGAGGAAAGTGAACGTGCAAAGTACTCTGCAAAAAGTGCTTTTGTACAAGACTTTAGATGATTGCGCAGTTGGACCCAAAGTATTGATATAAGTTTTAACCTAATATATAGAAATTGTAAACTTTTGAACATGGAAAAGCACAATTTCTATGAAACGTCAATTTATTAATCCTAAAAAGGCAAATGATGATAATTTGTCCCAAGACTAGCTTAACTGTGTATCCTGCCTTCCTCCCAATGACAGCTGGGATAGGCTCCAGCACCCCACCGTGACCCAGAAGGATAAGCGGTTTAGATGATGTATGTATGTATGTATGTATGTATGTATGTATGTATGTATGTATGTATGTATGTATGTATGGTTTAACTGTTTGAAATCATCATTACAATGTATAACAAGGCTGAAAGGCTAAAAAACCCACTTATTGAGTTTTTTGGTAAATAAAGGCAGAATCCATGTTTTATTTATGATTTTGTTTTGATGACTGCGGTCAGAGTTATACTAAGGTTAGCCTGGTTGTATTTATTAGCTTATAGATCAGTAGCTAGCAGTCAGGACTGGGTGATACCACCGGGATTTCCAATGGTTGTGTGGTGTATTTGCACAATGCATGCTGGGTGTTTTCATAAGAGAACACTGAATGAAAACATGAATATTATCAAACAGATGAGGCTAAGGAGTATACGGCTGAGCTGAATAATGAATAACATGACAAAATTAAAGTATACAGTTTCTGCCAAAATAGCTCTATAAAGTGAAATTCTCATTATAGGACAGATTATTTTGTTTTAAGCAATATGCTTGAGATAAGCAAATGCACCCACCAGCAGAGGATCATTTGGTGCAGTAAGATAGAAGTAAAAGAATGAGATTACTTTTTTCCCAACACTGCCGCTATCTATGCTAGCTTTAATCCTAGCATTATATGTGGTCTGTTGAGTCTGTGCAGCGCTCGATTCTGACTGAAGGGAGAAAAAAAAACTAAATTTAGCTTTGGAAGTGTAGCAACAAACTTTTCGCTTTCCACTCAATTTTCTCAAAGTTTCTCCTTAGTGATTTTTGTATAACTTCATTAGATCTACCAGTTTGACCACCTTGGAATTTGTGTTGTACAACACCATTTCCAAAAATGTTGGGAAGCTGTGCAGAATGTAAATAAAAACAGAATGCAATGATGTGCAAATGATGTAAACCATATTTTTAAATGAAAATACTACAAAGACAACATATCAATTGTTAAAACTGAAACATTTTGTTTTTTGAAAAATATTTGCTCATTTTGAATTTGATGCCAGCAACACATTCCAAAAAAGTTGGGACGGGGGCCTGTTTACCACTGTGTTTCATCACCTCTTCTTTTAACAGCACTCTGTAAGCGTTTGGGAACTGAGGAGACACTGCTGTAGTTTAGAAAGTGAAATGTTTTATTGTTCTTGTTTGATATAGAATTTCAGCTGCTCATCAGTTCGGGGTCTCCTTTGTCGTATTTTTCATTTTATAATGTGGCAGCTGTTTCAGGGGGTGACAGATCTGGACTGCAGGCCGGCCAGTTTAGCACCCAGATTCTTTTAATATGGAGCAATGCTGTTGTAATTCATGCAGAATGTGGTTTGACATTGTCTTGCTGAAATAATCAAGGCCTTCCCTGAAAAAGACGTCATCTGGATGGCAGCATATGTTGCCAAAACTTGTATATATCGTTCAGCATTAATGGTGCCTTCACAGATGTGCACATCACCCATGCCATGTGCACTAATGCCCCCCTATACCATCATGAATACTGGCTTTTGAGCTGTGCACTTATAAAAAGCTGAGTGGTCTTTAGCCTGGAGGGCACAGTGTCCATGATTTCCAGAAAAAATTTCAAATGTTGATTTGTCCGACCACAGGACACTTCCACTTCACCTCAGTCCATTTTAAATTGACTCAGACCCAGAGAAGGTGGCAGCATTTCTGGATCCTGTTTATATATGGTTTCTCCTTTGTGTTTTAGAGTTTAAACTTCCATTTGTGGACGCAGCAACAAACTGTTTTCACAGACAGTGGTTTTCAGAAGTGTTTCTGAGCCCATGCAGTGATTTCCACTACAGAATCATATCTGTTTTTAATGCCATCCGAGAGCCCAAAGATCACGGCCAGCAAATACTGTTTTTTGGCCTTGTCCCTTACATACAGAGATTTCTACAGACTCGCTGAATCTTTTAATGTTATATGTACCGTAGATGATGAAAAGCAAAAGTTCTTTGCTTTTTTATGTTGAGACACATTATTCTTGAATTGTTGCACTATTTGTGCAGTCTCTCACAGAGTGGTGAACCCCTCCTCATCTTTACTTCTGAAAGACTCCGCCTCTCTGGGATGATCTTTTTATACCCCATCATGTTACTGACCTGTTGCCAATCAACCACCAGGTGTTTTTTTTAGCATTACACAACTTTACCAGCCTTTTGTTGCACCTGTCCAAACTTTTTTGGAATGTGTTGTTGGCATCAAATTCAACATGGGCATTTTTCAAAAAACAATAATTTCTCAGTTTCATCATTTGATTGTTGTCTTTATACAATTTTCAATTAAATATAGGGTTTAAATGATTTGCACATCATTGCATTTTGTTTTTATTTACATTTTTCACAGCATCCCAACTTTTTTGGAAATGGGGTTGTATAACACCTGCCTGCTACTGACCCTCCTGATGATACTGCTGCATTTTTAATCATAAACATTGCCTCTCCTGCTTTTTCTCCTTTTCCATATCTTATAACGATGGTCAAACCTTATCCTGCTGTTATTGTTTGCTATCCAGTGTTGACCAGAGGAGGATGGGTTCCCCTTTTGAGTCTTGGTTCATCTCAAGGTTTCTTCCTCTTGTTCTTAGGGAGTTTTTCCTTGCCACTGTTGCTACTGGCGACGCTCATGTGGACTCAGACCCTGATTTTTCTGTAAAGCTGCTTTGTGACAACACCTGTTGTAAAAAGTGCTATATAAATAAACTTCGACTTGACTCTCAACACCCAGAAATTCACACTGAAGAACTTCCTCTCCACAGTGTAGATTATCACTGTATTGTCTTTTCCATACCAGTCCGTCCTCATGCTGTTGTATCATGACATAACAACATTATCCATTATAACCATGACGGAGGGCTGCGTTGAAATGACTGAAAATAATTGCTACAGGTGCACATAACAGCGATTTTTTTGATTATTTACATATTTTGGAATAGGTTATTTAATGTCTATTCATATAATATATCAAATTTCTATTTTCCTGAGGCCCTTGGCGCATGGGGGTCCTAGAAAGCTGCCTACCTAGTGCAAAGACCATCCCTGGTTTATTACTATATACAGTGCTGGAGTGAGACCTGTTTTCATACTAGGAGTTATGACTGCCATCGTGCAACATAGCCTAACATTTTCGAAAAATTGCAATTTGTCAAGCAAGCTTTTATCTTAAATGTGACAAACATGACTATGTTAAAAATTAATCCTTCTGGGTCACGGTGGGGTGCTGGGGCCTATCCCAGCTGTCATTGGGCGGAAGGCAGGATACACCCTGGACAGGTCGCCAGTTCATCACAGGGCAGACAGACAGACATACACATTCTCTCACACTCACTCGCACCTAGGGGCAATTCAGCATGTCCAATCAGGCTGACTGCATGTTTTTGGACTGTGGGAGGAAACCGGAGTACCCGGCAGAAACCCACGCAGACCCGGGGAGAACAGGCAAACTCCACACAGAGAGGACCGCGGTCACCCGGCCAGGGAATCGAACCCAGGCCCTTCTTGCTGTGAGGCGACAGCGCTACCCACTGCGCCACCGTGCCGCCCGCTAAAAATTAATGATTAAGTAAATTAAGTTTAGCGTTTTCTATGGCCCACCTGCTCGGATATGTCCTCATCCTCCTTAAGTAGCTTCTTTATTCTTGTCTTGTGTGTGTTTTTTTTTTTTTGCAGTTCCTGACGCTGTTTTCCATCTTAACGTGATTCAGGAATG